GGGACAGCATAATGAGACCCCAGCACCATCACCCCCAAAAGAGAGAGAAAGAAAGAGAATGAAAGAGAGAAGTTGGGGGCTGGAGAGATGGCTTAGTGGTTAAGAGTACTGGTTGCTCTTGTAGGGGACCCAGGTTCCTTTGCCAGCTCACAACCACCTGTAATTCCAATTCCCAGGTGTCTGGCACCCTCTTCTGCCCTCCAAAGGCACCAGGCACACATGCAGTACACGTACATGCACGCAGACTAAGCAATCATGCACACACATTATTTCTAAAAATTTAACTTGATGTTGATCATAAAATGCCCTTTTTTGTCCTCACCCATCTCAGCTCTGTCCCACTGTCATGTGGCAGCTGTAATACGTGACACAAGAAGACAGCACCGCTTTCTGGGAATGGCACAGGCCAGAGGCAAGCAGGGCCTGGGAAGCAACGATCCCAGCCAAACCTAAGTGCAAGAGCGGCCCTCTGGGGGCGGAGGAAGAGCAACACCGTGGGCAGGAGACCCGGATGGCCCAGGTGGCCACACACACAAGCTAACCCTGGGCACCTTCTGCGCCAGCGCTCCCGTATTCTCCCACACAAGCAGATCCTCAGAAGCGTGTGCTTTTGTCTGAACTGCGCTGCTTACAGAGACCGATTGACGGCTTCTCTTTGCGCTAAACTCTCAGAGAACGTGCACGGGTTTGTTCATACGTGGGCGGGCTTCTCTCCCGGGAGAAAACTGGCAGCTTGGTACATCTCTAGTACAGCTATCCGCGCTCACCTGCCAACTGTGCCGTCGGTGAAACTCACCCAGAACCCCAGACTATAGTGCACATCGCATAGAGTACACAGTCCAGCCAGCCCTTTCAGAAGTGGGATCCAGAACATCAGAAACAGGGGTCCCCTTCCTCTGATTCTGTGCTGAAGAGCCCTGGGGCATTGCTGCAAGGCACTGTCCTCTGGGGCCCTCTGTGGAGACGCTAGGAGCATCCAGAGCACCTTAGGCGAACCATGGGTCTGTCCTTCCTCAGGGAAGACCACCATCCTTTCATTCCAGACCAGACAGAATAAACAGGACATCAAGAAGATGCTACGTCTGGTGGTAAAGGGCTGTAATCCTGACTATTCTAGAGACTGGGGCAGAAGATTTACAAGTTTATGAAGTTCAAGACCAGCCTGAGCTACACCGTAAGTCCCTGTCTCAAAAGCAAGAAGGAGAGGGGAAAGGTGGGAGAGTATCCAAGGTAGAGTAAAGGTAGCAGACGTTCCCCCAATACCAAAGACTGTCACTGAAGACAGGGACTGTCCTCCAGCTCTCCAACAAGCTCTGCCACCTGGTGACCCTGTCCATGTTGTCACTTGAAAATTAAAATGGCCTCAAGATAGGAACAGAATAGACATGTCCTTAAAGGCTGACTGTATAGCAGCTTTATGTGTGTGACTGTTTTGCCTGTGTGTGTGTGAGTGTGTATGTGTCTGTCTGTCTGTCTGGTCCAGAAGAGGGTGTCAGATCCCCTGGAACTAGAGCTGCATATGGCCTGTGAGCTGCCGTGCAGGTGCTGGGCATTGAACCCGGGTCCCCTGCAAGAGCAGCCAGTGCCCTTCACTGCTGAGTCATCCCCCAGCCCCATTTTTCTCTCCTCGTCTGTCTGCAGAGTCCAGGACTAATCTATGTTCTTTGCTTCAGCTGTTAAGAACAAAATGGGATCTAAAACTTGGGCTGCAGTGGGTTCTCTTTAACAGCTTTTTTTTTTTTTTTTTTTGTCAAAGGATTGCCCTGTGGGAAGAAATGTAACTAGACTGAGAATAGATTAAGTTCTCTGTTCTCGGGGTATTTGGATAGAGGCTGAAGACACTGTTTCATCCAGAACCTCTCTGTCTCAGAGAAAGTGGATTCAACAATGATATAAACAGATCGGGTCTTGGTCGACAAGGTCTTAGCCCTGGTTCTGGAACCCCAATTTCCTATGCTGCCGCCTCTTTCTGATATCTTCAACCACTACCCAACAGACTGTGTGACCCCAATTTCAGAAAGGTTTGCTCCATCAAACCTCATGCAAATAACAATTCCTCGGTCAATCGAAGAGCCTGATCTGTGTGACGACCCTGCTGGGGCGTGGAGTGGGGACAGTCCCAGCCTGAGGTGGGAAGAAAGACTAGGACTATCATACAAACAGAAAGGAAAGGAACCAGTCCCCAGCAGGGAAGCCTGGTTAACAACTGTCTAAGGCAGGCTCTCCTTATCAGAGATCCCATTTGCCAGGAAGATAGGTCCTCAACCTCTTGAGCAACTCCAGTTTCCCCGGCTCACGTCATCTGATTTCAATCCCATCCGTGGCTTCCCGGGAGTCGCCTTATAATCTCACTTGTCAAAAGACACAAAAGGAGAGAGATGTCCTTAGCAATCTTTTAAAATGTAACCCGAGAGCCACCAAAATGGCGTATACCGCTAAAACCAGGACAAGTTCAGCTCCCCACTAAGGAACTGGCACCCCTACTGGTACACCTTCCTCCCAAGTGCCTCTCTTTCTCCTAACCCTGAAGCTTGGGAGAGATTAAAATGTTTTTAGATCCTGAATCTGCTTCTGACTGGTCCCAGAGTTCTTGTCTGCATCAAAGCCACGAATCCCAGTTTGGCTTGAGTTGATGACCTTAAGATGTTAAGGGAACTCCTGGGGCTGCTGAGGGGGGCAGTGTGGGGCTGTGCCTCTACCCCACACGCTGGCAGGCCCATAGCACAGAAGTATGCGCCCTTCTTGTGGTAACTATTTATTGCCACGGGTGGCTTAAAGTGCCCTTGGTGTCCAAAGGGAAAGGCATCTAAATCACAAAAGAATTTAGAAAGCATGAAATCCACACGAAGACAGGATGTGCTATTCGGGGGAAGTGTGAGCTTCAAGATTAAGTGCACATGGATGCTTGCAGGCCGTGGCAGGGATGTGAAGGTCACATTATTTCTGGGGACTGGACGCAGGTCATCTGGCTTTCTCAGAACCTTTACTGACAAAGCCCTCTCTCCAGCCACCACTTTTTCTTTTTTAAAAAGACTTATTTATTATGTATACAGTATTCTATCTACATGTATCCCTGCAGGCCAGAAGAGGGCACCAGATCTCATTACAGATGATTGTGAGCCACCATGTGGCTGCTGGGAATTGAACTCAGGACCTCTGGAAGAGCAGCCAGTGCTCTTAACCTCTGAACCATCTCTCCAGCCCCCCAGCTGCCATGTTTTACAGTCCGTGAATACAGCTGACATTATTTTCTGTTATTACTGGTGAGAAACCAGAGTCAGGGACGGTCCTGTCTGGGATGCAGCCTGAGTCCTGCCACCTCCCCCCCCCCAGTTGGAACCCTGTGGATCCGCCTTCCCAGAAAACACCCCAAGGCCTGGAAAGGCCACTTGGTCTTGAAGCTCACACTTCCCCCAAATAGCATATCTCTCCTTGTTGTCCTAACTTTGTGACTTAGGTCTATCCTGTCTTCGTGTGGATTTCATGCTTTCTAAATTCACTTTTGTGATTTAGATGTCTTTCCATTTGGATGCCAAAGGCACTTTAAGTCATTCCATGGATCTCTTACATTCAAATTTAATGTTTTCAGAAATTCTTTGAAACTTGGAATTCTACTTTTTTTTTTGTATTGTGTGAGTTCAGGAAGGCAGGAAAAACTTGGATATTTTTAAAAGGCATCAAAAAAGAACCTTGTCTTTTATACGTACATATGAGACAGCATTTCACTATGTAACCCAGATTTCCAGGAAAAACTTTCCCTGTGTAGATCCATCTGTCTCTGCTTCCCCGGTGCTGGGATTAAAGGTGTGTGTCACCACACCTGGGATAAATATATTTTTCTTCCCCCCCCCAAAAAAAACTTGCTACAGACAGACATGATGACCCACGCCTTTAATCCCAGCACTCGGGAGGCTGAGACAGGCAGACCTCTGAGTTCAAGGTCAACCTGACCTACAAAGAGAGTTCAAGGACAGCCAATGCTGTGGTACACAGGGAAACCGTCTCTGAAGAACAAACAAAACAAACCATTGTCATGTCTCTAAAACTTTAAGGAAGTAATTTAAAGTGAGAAGGTTTGAGTTGAAAAAAACAAAAAAAAAAAGTCTTCTTCATCCCTTCATTCCTATAACAGTTGATGTCTAGCTGTCCTTCCTATAATGCTGCAAAATGAGATCTCCCCTGTTGTGTTTGGTAGATGTTGTAGAGTCCATTGCCAAGAATGTGCTGTCTCTAAACACCCGTTCGGTTTTCAACGATGGAACTCCACCCTTTACTTAGTTGTAAGTATGTGTGGAATGTTTGGATAAGACACAGTAATACTGGTGTTCAGACGTGAAAATGGTGGGGAGACAAAAATACACGTGTGAAATAAACTCTATTAAAAAAAACTGCTTTTCTTTTTTGAAACACAGCAGCCCATGCTGAACTCAAACTCACTGTGTAGTCGAAGATGACTTTGATCCCCCGATCCTCCTGCCTCCGTTTACTAAATTCTGAGATTACAAGCATGTGCCACCATACTGGGGCTCATGCGACACTAGGGATGAAACCAGGGAATTGGAGCATGCTAAGCAAGTATTCTCCCAACTGAACTACATCCCCAGCCCTAAATGTCGTTTTTTGTTTTGCTTTTTGTTGTTGTTTTGGTTTTGTTTGTTTTTTGAGACAGGATTTATCTTTTAGACCAGGCTGGCCTCAAACTCACAGAGATCCGCCTGCCTCTGCCTCCCGAGATCTAGGATTAAAGGCGTGCGCCACCAACGCCCGGCCAATTTTGAATGGCGGGAAACTTTTAAGACCTGTTATTTAAAGTCGGTTTCCAGCACTGTCGAACTTGACTGCCCTGAGCTCCGCGTCTGCAACATGGTTTTCGGGCAAGTTCCAGACCCGGTCTGGCTAGGCTTCGTGCTGGCGTCTAAGCGGCAGCAATCCCAGGCCCCACCGCGAGGATGCGCTGCGACCTCAGGTCCCCCTCGCTCACCAAGCCGGGGCGGTCCGCGGGGGCAGGAGCGAGGCGGGGCACCGAGCAAAGGTTGTCTTTTTAGCCCGGGACCTTCTCTGAAGCTCCCAGGCATCATGACGGTGGGCGCCAGGCTCCGAAGCAAAGCGGCGAGCAGCTTCGCGCGCCGGGGACACCTAGGGCGATCGCGCGGCGCGGGTGACGAGGAGACAGATGCCATCGTAGAGCACCTGGAGGTTGAGGACGAGGACCCGGCGAGCCAGGAGGGTGAGCACGAGGACAGCGGGCGGCGCGCGGGGACCCCAAGCGCGCGCAGAGTGCACCTGGCAGCGCTGCCCGAGCGCTACGAGCCCCTGGAGGAGCCGGCGCCAGGTGACAAGCCCAAGAAGAGATACCGGCGAAAACTGAAGAAGTATGGCAAGGTAGGCCCCCACGGCCCGGCCGTCCTGATCCAGACAGAGCCGGGAGTTGCTCTGGGTGGAGCCGTAACCGAGTCGCCAGCAGGACAGTCACTTGGAGGGTGGCGCTGAGCGCGCCGACTTAGGCTCGCAGAACCCTGTGCCCAGTTGTCGTTGGTGGGAAGGGAATGTTGAAGCCGTGTTGAGGTTAAGTGACTTGGGGACCACCGTGACCCAACTGGGAAGTTGCATGCCTAGGTGCATGCATCCATCTCCCATCCTCTCCCCGGGCCACCCTGCCACACGAGAACGTTAGGTGATTCTGTGGTGGAGGCTCGGGGCCGGCTAACCCAGCCAGGGCACACCTAGCACCTGTGGAATCTCCCTCTCTGTAACAATGATCTCTGCACTTTGAACTTCAGATGTTCTGCCTGCCTTTTGCTTTTCGGTGGGAGGAGGTGGGGGAGCGAGAGGAATGATGGATGGGGAACGGAATGAGTTTCATAGCCAGGATAAATGGCTCTGGCTCCCAGGTGCCCCTGCCTGGAAGTAGAATTGCTCTCTTGGTCTGAACGCCGCTACAGGAGGGTGTCTGGGGGGGGGGGGATGCGGGGGACGGGGGATCACGAAACTGTGTTTCGGTCAAAGTCCTCTGGTCTGCCCAGGTTCTATTGTCCAGTCGTAAGTGGCCTTCAGTGAGTGACCTTTATCATACCTGAGGCTTTCAGTCCCTTGCCCGGAGTTTAGTTTATCATTCTCCTGAATGACACGGCAATGCTCCCTCACGAGCAGGCGATGATAAAATACTTGAAGTAAAGTGGGACTTTGGGGGTAAGGAAACTATCTGAAAGTGAATTTGATGACAAGGGGTCCTCCGTTGGAGGCTGGCATTTGGGGGGGGTTTGGGGGTGACCTTTCTGTGCCTGCATTATGTGACACTAAAGGTACAAAATGAATCCTAGCATCGGGTGGGGAGAGCCCAAGGCCCACCAGGGAGACGAGGCAGAACTGGGGCCCGGCTCCTCACTGCGTAGCAGAGAACTTAGTGACTACTCATGCTGGTGAGGCTGGTTTAATCAGGGGCTCTGGGTGGAAGATGAGACAAGGAAACCCACGCCTATAAGCCCAGGTACTTTGGAGGGCGGGGCAGGATGATAGAAAGTGTACGGTCAGCATGGGCTAGATGACAAGATCCAATAAACCAAGAGCTCACCCAGGCTAACACTGAGGTTCCAGACCACACTAATTAGGATGGCTGTGTTTAAAAAAAAAAAAGAAAGGCTCTGGGCATTGGTGGCGCACGACTTTAATCCCAGCACTCGGGAGGCAGAGGCAGGCTGATCTCTGTGAGTTCGAGGCCATCCTGGTCTACAAAGCGAGTTCCCGGACAGCTTCCAAAACAATACAGAGAAACCCTGTCTCGAAAAACAAAACAAAAAAAAACAAACAAACAATAAAAGGCAATGTCCAAACATTAAAGTAATGATGTTAGTGGGGATGTGGAGACATTTTGGGCCTTGTAAACTGACGGTGGCATATGTAAAATGTTGTAACTGCTGTGGAAAGCCACTTGGAGGCACCTCATCAAGTTGAACACAGAACTAACTACTCCATGGTCTCAGGGTGTACTCCAAGGGAGATGATGAGGGTTGGGGTGTATGTAGCTCAGGTGGTCAAGTGCTGTCCTAACATTCACGGAAGACCCACCTTGGATCTCCGGTGCTATGTAAACTAGGCGTGGTGGTACACACCTGTAATCCCAGCACTTGGGGAGTGGCGTGAGGAGATGGGAGCTCAGGGTTTGACTTTGTGGGTGGAGCGCTCACTTCCAACCTGATAATCCGAGTTCAATCCCCAGTACCTGGCAAAACTGACTCCCACAAGCTGTCACCTGGTCATGTACACACGGTAGCTAGCGCTGGTACACAGATGTGCATACATACTAAATATGTGTAATAAACATTTTGGGAAAAATAGTTCAGAGTAGTTTTTTGGTTGCCCTAGAGAATTCCTGGTCTACATGAGATCCTAGCTTGAAAAAAGAATAATTGAAAACAGCTACTCAAGCAAATGTTTTTGTTTTGTTTTCTGAGTCAGGGTTTTTCTGTATAACAACTCTGACTGTCCTGGAACTTGCTCTGTAGACCAGGCTGGCAGGAACTCACAGAGATCCTCCTGCCTCTGTCTTTCAAGTGCTGGGATTAAGGTGTGCCACATCACCCAGGGTGAATATTATTTTTTTACTTTGATTTTTCATGCGTACGGGTATTTTGCCTCCATAAATGTTTGTAAAGTAATTTTACACACATGTTCACAGATGTCTCATTTACCAGTGGACAAAAAGTGAAAAAAATCCAAATATATGTGAGTAGATGAACAAAATGAGCTAGACACACTATGGACTATTATTTAATAGCCGTAAGGACTAATATTAGCTGCCACGTGGCTCAGCAAGATGGATGTTAAGTGAAGAAAGTCGTGGTTCCCTTTATGTGAAATGTTCGATGCCTCTAACTTCTTCACTTTATAAAATCATCTATTTTGTTTGTGGGGGTTGGGTCTTTTGCTTTGTTTTTGTCTACATGTATGTCTTGCCCCATGCCCACAGAGATGAGAGATGGGGCATTAATTCCCCAGGAACTAGGATTACGGGTGGCTGTGAGCCACCATGTTGTGGGTGCTGGGGACTAAAACTGAACCCAGGTCCTCTAGAAGAGCAGCCAGTGTTCTTAACTGTTGAATCACCTCTCCTTTTTCACTTAAAACTGTTTGGTTTTACGTTACATACATTTGGGTGGGGTTTGACATGAAAAGGGGTTGGGGCTTTTTTGTTTTGTTTGACAAAAATGGAAAGAAAAGAGATGTGGAAAAGCTCTGGAATGTTACACACTAACTCAGTAGCCCGAAGATGTCCAGATGGGATTATAGCCCCAAGTGAGTGGTCCCCAGAGCCATCCTGGCTTTCAAAAGGTACCACGCTTCAACAAAAAGGAAGAAGACCAAGGAGCCCCCTTTTCTGCAAAGCTACAAGAACAGCCAAGGCTCCTGCAGAAGATGGGGGTGGGCATTTGTACTCACCTCGGTTACCAGGAGAGGCTTTCTTTTAGAAATAATTGGCTCCAATTATTGGCTATTATGGAATGTGTTTTCTCTTAGTTCCCATTCCTGCTAACTTCTTAGATCCTTCACCCAAGCCCCTTCCTGCTTCTATTTAAGGAAAATTGTTGTCCTTTGTGCAACATGAAAGAGCGGACTCACTCCCCCGCTGCCCCTCCCCGCCCCACCCACCTCCACCAGCATGGTCCTACCCAGGAGCCAACCCTCACACTGCTGGTCCAGCCTTCTGGAAGCCTTTGTGCCTGGGCCTCTTGTAGAGATCAATGTTCCGGCTGATCTTAAAGACATAATTGCATTCCTGTAGCGCACGTATTACTGTTAAAATGCTATCTGCTGGGCACTGGGGAAAGGAAGGAACCTGAGTTGGCGGTGTTCCGTCAGAAGGCTGGATATCTGCTGCCTTCTTATGTTCCACGCCTGAGTCCTCTCGGTGCCCCTGGGAAGCTGGTGTTGAAGACAATGAAGCTGGGAAGTCAGCAGAGGAGCTGGGAGGGAGCCCGGCCTGGCCCCTCCTCTGCGGATCTGTGGGCTAGAAGGATGGAACATGCCTCAGACCTAGCTGAAAATAATAGGACGCCCTTGCAGGCACCCTCGGGAGGTGCAGAGAGAAGTGCAGTAAGAAAAAGAATCAAGTTATGTCAATTGGGAAGCTAGGAGAGGGTTGGAGAGTAAAACAGAGTGTGGGGTAAGTCAGGTATGGTGTTGCAGGCTTATAATCCCAGCCCCCCTGGAAACTGAGATGGGAATCAGGAGTGCAGGGCCAACCCTGGCTACATGGTACATGGGACCCTTCCCCTGCTCAAAAAGAAAAAAGAAAAGGTGAAAACTGGTGATGGAGTTCACCCTGGCACGCTTAGCATGTACCGAGAGTAGGTTTGAGTACAGTACGAAAAGAAGGGGAGAGGAGAAGAAATGCTCTCAAGTTACAGTAGGGGTCAAAAGCCAGTCTGCCAGAGGTGAGAGCTGCGTGGCCGTCCGTTGGCTGTGTGACTGGGGCTTGGCTTCCTCTCGCCACCTCTTTCTTGGTCTACACCATCATGATAATGAGGTCTGGGCTGGGGGGAGTGCATATCAAGTGGGCACGAGAGAGCCCAGTAAAAATCTTGGCACAGTGGCACACACTTGTAATCCCGATTCTGGGGATGCGAAGGCAGGAGCCCAGCCGGTGTAGACGATCTGTGAACTCAGAACTTGGGTCCTCTAGCAATTTAGGAAGACACTGATAGTGGACCCCGACGCACCCCCTACTGGCACACACCAGGTCACAAGGAGTCAATGAATCAGCACATGTGGAAGTTCTAGACGCCAGGGTGCCTGGCTGAGGTTCTAGAGCTGAGGTTCTGGAGCAACTACCCCTTGAGGAGTGGGTTCTCTTCATTCAGATCCTGGAGCTTGCCATCCACCTCAGGATGGCGCCAGGCCCGCCTGAGGGCAGCTCTACAGAGGACTGGATCCTTTGACCAGACAGTGGCCTCTGTGGAGGGATGATTTTTCTCTTCTAAGTCAGAGGGACGTGGAGTCCCAGCCCCATTGGGGGTTGGCTGTAACATTCTCTACAGCTCTGGAACTCAGAAGGAAGTCCCAAGCAGTCCTCCCGAGCAGAGCTAAAATCATCAGGGCGTCTTCCTCCCTTTCAAAATCAGTAGTGTACCCCACCCTGTCTCTCCCCCTCCTTCCCCCTCTCTCCTCTGTCTTCTGCCTGAGCTCCCTCACTGACATCACTCTGTCCTGCTCCACTAAGACACTCACATGGGTAGAGCCGCTCTTTGCCTGGTATGCAGGAGCCGTGAGTTCTGGGAGTCTGGGGGCTAGCCTGGCACCCTTGCCCACACTTCCCCACCCTCAGCATCCCTACGAGAGATTTGTTTTACCTCAAGTCCTTTCCCCTGAACAGCACCGGCGTGGTTGTCAGTAGCTTCTTAGGTCTCTTTCTCTCTGTGCTTCTCAAAGCTGTGTTTCCACGTTAGTTACTGAGCTATCTCAGAAGACTTAATCCCCAAATTGTAAAGATGAAGTGATAAGTAACCAGCTATGGGGAAGAGAATGTACAAATCCACTAACGGTTGCAGGTAGCAGTGTGATTCTGGTGTTATTGTTCGTAAAGGACCAGTGTTGATGGTTGTGATTGCTCCAGGGGTACATGATAGTTGTTTCAAACATGGAAAATTAATTCTCCCACTGACTCTTTTCAATACATTTATAGAATTTCTCTCTCCCAAAACTTGTCATGACCTAGTAAGGGACTGAAAGAGCTTGGCTTTCTCTGCAGACTGGGGGTAGCTGAATGGGTACATGCAGTGTGAGGGCCCTGAGATCCATACCATGGACAACTCAAGGCAGGACCCATAGGCAACTCCATATGCTCTTTAAAAACTTTCCTAGCAAGGCATTGTGACTCACACCTATAATCCCAGCACCGAGAGAGCTGAGGCAGGAGGATCAACATGAGCTGAAGGCCACCTTCATTACAGAGAGGTGTCACATGGGGAGGCTTCCGGCTCTGCAGTGAGAGTTCTTTGGGGAAGGTTCAGCTACACCCCTTACCAGCTGAATGGTCTCAAAGACATGAAAGTTCCCCGTGATTTCTTCTTGCTGATCCCTTAATCAAAGGCCATTGAGGACATACCAGTCACCCAAGTTAGGCCAACTTGTTAGGCCAGAGGAATTGTGGGGACTCAGAAGATGGATGCCCCAAGCAGAGAGCTGAATGCGTGAATCTGAGCTGGAGTTGGCAGCATCTAAGTCCAAGGGGTTCTAGGCAGAACACAGAGAACCTAGCATTGAGGAACAAAGACCTCAAAGGTTCAAGCTATGCAGGGAGACAGAATCAATAAAGAGGGTTTAGGAGTGCCCTGTGGAGTACAGGAGAAACCAGGAGTACCAGGGGTCGGGTGATCACAGCTCAGGGAGGGAAAAGACGGAACCCTCCATGGACCACACAATACGGAGGTGGTAGACACTCTTGAGCAGGCAGGCCCTGAAGGGTTGTGGGCAGCAGCCAGTATGAGAGGGAAGAGGTGTGGAGTGGAGTCAGTGTCCGGTGACTTTTTCATTTGGAGAGCAGAGACACGGGACAGGAGGTGGCCAAAGTGACACTTGGTATAGTATAAGTTAGGGACTGACAGAGAGACAAGGATGCCACTGGAGAGGAGAAACCAAGGAATGATGGGAAAGGACCAAGAACAGTGTGGGGAAGACACGAGGAAAAGAGCCAGTTCCCATGGTTACCCTGCTAGGGTGGGAGGAGCCAGGAGCCGGAGCACGGAGCTTGGGGACCATAGGGGAAGATGAACAGGTTCCCCAAGGACACGTGATTCAAGCAATGAGGACAAGGGCTAGTGCGTAGAGATGGCTGGGGTCGGGAGAGGGAAAGGTTGGGCTGTGTCTGAAAGAGAAGTCACCCCACCTGGCCAGGTGGGGTGGCTTCTCCAGGAAGCACTAGGTGTCTTGGTGAACCTCGTGACTGGGATGCGGGATCTTCAGTGGAACCAGGCTGTGTATTCTGTAGCCAGAACAAAGGTCTGAAAGAAAGCCAACGGGTGTGAGAAGGTTCTTCTGGTCAGCGACGTGGATGCCAAAGTCGCCAAGAACAACAAAGGAATCTGGAGGTGGGAAGAGGAACGCCAGGGGTGCCATGCGGTGGGTCTTGGCCATTAGTGATCTCAAAGCTTCGATGGACCTGGCATTCGATGTCTCCTATCCGGGCACCAGCCCTCACCGAGGAAGAAGAGGAGGAAGACAGCACACAAAAAGCATTGCCTGGCCCTTACGCTCAACCCATGTAAGACGGTTCTGGAACCATAAAAGGCTTGTGCGCTTGCAGCGCTTGGAGAGCGGAGAAAACTTCCTGGTTACAAACATGTGGGGTCAGACCAGAGTAGGCACTAGGCGCACAGGAAGGACCAGCTGGGCTGTCTAACAAGATGCCTGAAGGAAAATTTGGCACTGCCTGTGATGGCGCCGACACTTTGAGCTGGGAAAGTGGGGTGAGTCTCAGTTTAAAACAACAAAGGCGTTTTAGTTCTAGAGCTGGCCATCTCCACGCTGTTTCTAAGAAGGCTTGCGAGGTACCTGGAAATGTGCTGTGCTCTCACGCACTTTGCAAGGAGAAGGCCTGTTGTGAGTAGGGGTGGGGACCCCAGGGCACTAGAGATGTGAAGACCTGGCCTCTTTAGTGTGCCCTGGATCCATGAGGGCGAACGATTCTCTGTGCGCGTGTATCACGGTGACTCACGGAAAAATCAACAGAGTGCCTCACCTAACTTTTGCTTTTCTCTTCCTAAAACAGAATTTCGGGAAGGCCATCAGCAAAGGATGCCGGTACATTGTCATTGGGCTGCAGGGATTTGCTGCAGCCTACTCCGCCCCATTTGGAGTGGCAACCAGCGTGGTGTCCTTCGTGCGCTAACGGGAGCTGCAGGGGCAGGCATCACCAGAATGCTTCTGCCCCAGGACAGTGTGAATCCACCAGCACTTGAGACTCGAACTCAGGAACTCTGAAGAGGAACCCTGCTTCATGCTCCGTTGTTGAACTGGTTGAATGTTAGGCTGGAGCCATCCCCGCTCATCCGCTGAGCCTCTTGTTTATCTTGGATCTGGGTGGATCTAGGGGTCAGTCCTGTGGAGAATTCGGCCAAGGTCAAGCTGGGATTAGGGTTAGCTTGCTTCCTGTACCAGCTAGAGCCCTCCTGGGGGTACCGGTAGGCAGATTCATGGCAGGTTTGGGGTCCAAGCCATGTGGGTAGTGGGTGAGTTTTGAGGTGGAAGACCTCTAATGGGATAGTTGCTAGGTTCTGGAAAGGTCGCTGGCTGAGGAGCACTGGCCTTGGCCTTCCTTGATCTTCTCAGTAAGGACAATGAGGGAGCTGTTTCTGATGTCTTTCTCTCTCCCCATCTCTGTTTTACTGAGCTGTCATCGGGAGTTTAATTACAGGGTTGGGAAGAAAGAAAGAAGGAAACCTGTCTTTGAAGACCAAGATGCTTTGAATGGAACCCATGTTCACAGCTGTGTGGGGACTGTTGAAAGTAGATCAGAGTGTGTCATTTTCATAAGTATTTCATAACAACGCAGCTGGCAAAGGGGGAGGGGCAAGTTCAGAAGCAAGCTTGGAGGCTGCAGCAGGTGCTCTCAGAGTCTGAACCTGGCCCGGCGATTGCGTTTGGAGCTGTCAGGAATCCTGCAGATGTGTTGGTTCAATACCAGTTCACTGCTGGCAGGTGCCTAACTCCACCAGGGGAGGGAAGGAGGGATGGAGGGGGAGAGAGAGACAGAGGGAGAGGGAGGGAGAGAAACAGACAGAGAGAGGGAGAAAGAGGGAGAGAGACAGATGGAGAGAGAGGGAGAGAGAAGAGAGGAGACAGAGAGGGAGAGAAAAGAAAGGAGACAGAATTTAGAGGAACAACTTAAGAGATAGGCATGAAGAAGAAAAAAACCCAAGAACGACATTGGAGAAGCAATGGAAGTTGGGGAGTCAGGGATGCAGGCTTGTGGTGGGGGCTTCCTTGGGAGGTCTGGGCTGGTTGTATGTAGGACCAGAGGAACCTGGGGGAACCAGAGGAACCATAGTGGTTGAGTTGATACTTCTTAGGTCAGCATCTCACTTGGGTTCAAAGATGAATGTAGGCATGAGTCTCAGGCTTGACACTCCACCAAGGATGGTTCATAGACCACCATTGAGTACGGGGAGAATGAGAGAAGAAACCCTTTTAAGGCTAGGATGCCTGGGAAACTGTACTAGTTTGTTTCACAACTGTTTTTAAAGTTGTTCATAGAGGTTCCTCTCCCCCTGACCCTTGGCCAACTCCACAGCAGGCCAGGATTCCAACCTTGATTCTTGGGACCACTCTGCATGCTCAGCAGCAGCTTGTTGGCCTGGGAGACTTCCTGGAGCACACAATGAAAGCCAAGATGCTCACACCTCTGGTGGGTGGGTGGGAAGATGGACAGATGGACAGAAGAGGAGCAGATGGAGGAGACAGTAGCCGTTGCCCACTTAGATTCAAACTCCTCTCTAGAGGTTCCTGTTGAAGTTGCTGGGTCCCAGGAACTGGGAAATAAGTGGTCTTGCTTTACCCTAATAACTAAAAGCTGGGTACTGCAGGTTCACACATGTGACAGGATGATGCTTGTTTGGTAGTTCTAGGATGAAAAATGGAAAGGTAAATAGAAAATATCACATGCCATTGGCTGGAAAGAATCAGGAATGTGAAGCTTGCAAGATGTCTCCCCTGCCACCTCCTGATACCACAGAGCCCCCAGGAGCCCACGACATCCTGCTTGGGAGGGAGAAGTGTGACCCAGGGAAGGGCTGCACAGTCAAGGTCACTTCCTTCCCCCCTTCCCAGGAGTCGCTTCCTCCCCACCTCCCAACTCAGAAAATGAGCAAAGCCAAGTACATCTGGCCCTGTGCCTCTGCAAATCTGGCTAAGAATTAACTCAGAAACGGCCAAAAGTCGAAAGCTTGCAGGGGCTGTCCTGGAACTCGGCCAGCCTCCCTGGAAGGTGGATTTCAGTCCCAGGAGCAGGTCGTGTGATCACATCCCCATGTGGGGCTCTTGGTTCATGTCGCAGACTGTTCCTTGTTGCTTTTCTGTGTTCTCTTGTGTTTGGCCGCAAGGTCCACACCCTGCTGCAACTGAATTTAAGAGCTTAGCTTTCCCATTACTAACTGCAAAACTTTTTTTTCTGTATCCCTCTCTTGCCTTGTGGTGTAAATAAAAGTTTCAGCTTGTCTGGTTTTCATGTGTCAAGGGCTGTGCCTTCCCTTGCTTTCTCTCCCCGGGGAGGTGGCTGAGGCTCCAGCAGGACTTGGGAGATAGTGTTGGATTGTGGGTGATGGTCCCTGGGCCCCCACACACCGGCATTGCTAAAGGCTGCATTCTCTGGAATCCCTCAAGACAGGTTCTAGGGAGGGGAAGCCACAGCCCCACCATCTGCTACAAATGAAAAATTTCCAGAACCTTTGACTTCATTGTGGAGCCAGGAGGCTGCATTCTGCACCAGCGAGAAGCCTCTGATCTCTGCCTTGGTTGGGAAATGCCTCTGCTAATGGGGCTCCAGGGAGGGAGGCTGGGCCAGCAGAGCAGGCCCTGAGTGTCAGTCCATGCTGGCATGTTAGCACACAGTCCTGATCACCGAATTCTCACAGAAGCAATGGTACAGGTTAAGCAAATAATAGGCCAGTGGTCCTGGGTAGACGTCAGATCATCCAGTGAGGCAGGTTCATGGTAATAAGTCCTTTCCTGTTGGGAATGGCATAGACCTATGACAGTTCTCTCTTACCACGGGAACTTGTTTCATATCCAGCGGGGTGTGGGGCTTGAGGGGGGTCGTGTAGATCATGACTCTCACCTCATGCAGAAGACTTGAAATGCTACCATTGGAATTGGACATGGCAGCCTACATTATCCCAGCACTGAAGAAATGAATGAGGTGATGGAGTAAATCTTCTGTCACCTTAGAATACCATCTCTCATTCCCCCACCCCTACCCCTCCCACACACCAAGCTTTTTCTCTGTCCAGCACCTGTGTCTGGTCAGAGAAGTACCAAATGACATCTGTGACCAAGAAGCAGTATTTGAACTAAGATTTGGTGGCTTTCAGGGATCAGTGTGGCCATTGAACCACGTTTTAATGTTTCATTAAACCAGAGGTTCTCAACCTTCTTAATGCTGTGACCCCTAACCATAAAATTATTTCTGTTGCTACTTAATAACTAATTTTACTACTGATATGAATCATAATGTAAATATCTGTGTTTTCCGATGGTCTTAGGTGACCCTGGTGAGAGGATCTTTTGACTCTCCCTTAGGGGTTGTGACCCACAGTGGAGAACTATGGCATTAGGCAGTCCCAGTTCATAGTTTGTATTCCGATTATCATTCTTGGTTCTGCCTCTGCAGAACAGCAGAGAAATAAAGACTCACAATGTCTGGAGCTCTCAGAGCTTCCTGTAAACTTAATGCGTGATAAAATGTAGATACAGGTCAGATCCAAGGCATGGGGCATAGACGGGACACCCTGATATCCCTGCAAAGACTGTATCTCAGGGGCTCCATGCCTTGCCCAAAAGCCAAAGGAGTTAAAAATAAAAAGTTTCTAGCTTCCTTAATCATCTTTAGAAAAATGTGGAGAAATAAATACTTGGGTTTTGTTTGGAGGCAAAGTTGCTTTTGAGCCAAATTACTCCACTGTACATCACAGTCAAGGGGAAAGCAGATCTTAAGATCTCCCACGGGGCCCGGTGCCAAAACCTGGCAGGAACACCAGCCGTGCAGGACTCGGGGCAGGGCAAGGGAACAAAGGCTTGTTGCCAGGCCCTGTGCCAAACCTGGGCCCCTTGGGGAGCTCCGAGCTCAGACCTTCATCTTGAGCGCCTGAGGGAGCCCAGTCTGCACCTTGAGGACTGACTCAGCTTTTTAAAAAAGGTTTTTCTCAGGTGATTTCCCCTTCTATCCCTGGTGATGAGTCTCAGATTCACCCAGTTCAAGGCAGACAGAAGTCTAAGCCAGGACCGGGGTGTTGGTCAGCGGAATGCTTTCCTCGTGTGTGCAGGCCTGGGGTTCTGTCCCCACTACTGCAGTAAGCATATAAGGAAATAAACAGGTAAGTAGATTGTTAATTAAATAAACATCAGAGCCAAAGGACTGGGCGGAAGCTGAGTTGAAGGGCCATACTTCCTTCACCGGCTCTTCAAAGCCTGGGCAAATAGTTTCCACCTGGGACTTACTGGCTTCACTTCTAATTGAGATAAACAACTTATTTTTGGTTTTGGCTTGCTCCAAGAGAAGTTCAGAGTTGTTGCAAAGGCAAAATGTGGTGAGGCCGTGGGGAGGTAACGGGTGGGAGGGAAATAGAAGAGGGCAAAGGAGACAGAAATCAGGAAGCATTACCAGCCAGACTTGGTGGAGCACGGCTTTCACCCCAGCACGTGGGAGGCAGAGGCAAAAGGATCTCTGCAAGTTCGAGGCCAGCCTGGTTTACAGAGAGAGAAGCAGGACTAATTAGAGAGACCCTGTCTGAAAAAGAAAAACGAAACCACTACATTCAAATATGAAATTGCCAAATTTAATTTAAAAAATGAAAACACACAGTGTTGAGATTGCCTATTTATTTTAAGCAGGAAATTCTCTATTAAAGAAATGTTCACAAATATATCTCCTTTAACTGCTTAGAGTGAGGAGAAAGTAGCATATAAATTAATTAGGAACTGTAAAGGGAAACCTTTTCCTTGAGAGAAGCCTTCCTGCCAGCCTGGTTCCAGGGCCCCATCAGTCCCAAATAAACACACAGGAGGCTATATTAATTATGAAGCTGTTGGCCTTGCTTGTTTTCTTACTGGCTAGCTCTGACTTAAGTAATTACCCCATAATTGTTAATCTAAGTATATCTCTTACTGGAGAAGTTTCCGGGCTTCCTACTCCATGGCGTTACATCTTGACTCTCTGTGTTTCTCCTACCCAGAGTCCTCCTGGACTATCTTGGTTTGCTATTGGCCAACAGTGCTTTATTGACAAATACACAGGACTTTCCCAACAAGGAACTTTCTCCATAACTCTCATTCTTTTAAACAAAATCAGGCTTAAATATGTGGCTTCCAGTATTTTCTTTTAACCTGGTCTGCAAGCCATTCATGGAGCCCATGAACCCTATCTGCCATCGGCTGTGTTGATGACAGATCTGGGCACGGGGATCAGAGGAGAGAGTCAAGCTTCCTGCATAAGCCCACGTTCAGAAATGAGTGCAGAGATATGCGGGTGTTTATCCTTGACTCTCAGTTTCTCTCAAATGATCACATGAGGGGTTTATAGAGGGAAACAAGGGAAACTCAGATGTTTCGGAGGGCAGTCCCGGTGCTGCATCCAGGTGTCTTGAACGCTTTTGGTTTGTTTGTTGTCATCGTTGTAACAAAATATCCAAGAAAACAAGTTACAAGAGTAAAGATTGGTGTTGACTCCTGGCTCCACAGTTCTCAGTACATAGAGCTCTCTGCCAGTTTTAGGACTGTGGCAAGATGGATCCAGGGAAGGCCATGGCAGAAAAAAAAAGCCACTTACCTCCAAGGTAGCAAAAAAAGCTGAGAAGAAAAAAGCCACTTACCTCAAAGGTAGCCAAAAAGCTGAGGAAAGAAACAGGGCAGGGTCAAGTGACACCCTCCCAGGACCCTACTCTCCAACGCCTCAGGTAGTAACATCAAACTGTATCCATGTGGTTAAAGCCAGCAATGGAGTCAGTCCCAGGACCCTGCTCTCCAGCGCCTCCGGTAGTAACATCAAACTGTATCTATGTGGTTAAAGCCACCAATGTCAGTCCTCGTGATCCATCCTTCCCCAGAGTCCCACCTCTGAACATTTCTGCACTGGGAGCGGTCCCTTCTGGGATGACAAACATGAAAACGCCTGCCAAGGTTGCAGCCAGGACCCAGGCACAGCTGCCTCTCATCTCCAACTCTTTTGAGACTCCAGATGCCTCCAGAGAGAACAGGGGTTCCTTAGCAGTGTTCATTCCTTCTTCTGAGATCACACTGCAACCTAAGCTGGTCTGAAACACACCGTGGAGGTCACACGGGCCTCAGACTTGTGGTGATGCCCTTGCCTTCGCTCCCTGGGGCTGAGATTGCAGAGGTAAGTCAGCACAAGCCAGCTAGAGAGGAGTGTTGGAGGCAGTCCCACCTGCCACAAATCCCTGGTCACTTTACTGTTACTCAAGCAGTTAGGGTGTCTCTAGAAGAGAGCTGACATGCTAACCAGTCTGTCATACTCTGCTGTCTGAGAGCCTGCAAGTGTTTATTTGCCGATTCCCACCACAGTCAAGGCACAGAGCGAGACAGGAATCGAGGCCACGGAAGGGATGTGCGACCCCAAGTTGGTCAGGTTCAGTTTACTGATGCTCTGTGACTGACTGGTCATTTTGCTCCCTTGGTTCATCCCGGGGCCCACACACCCAAGCGCCCAGGGCTGCAGGAAAGTACCTGTGTAACCGGATGGTTCGGGCATCAGACAACTTGGCTCCTAATCTTCTAGGCCAGTGACCTTGTACCTACACTCTTCAGCTTCCTCAACTTCCAGAGCTAGTTTTGTCACCTTAGCAAAGAGTGAACAGTATCTACTTGCAAGGCTTACTGGGAAAGATAAATGTGAAGGGTATTAAGAACCTTGTACTGGCACTCAAGGGAGTGCCCAATAGTAGAGAAATTGTCTCAAGACCCCCAGTTCCATTCCTCACTGCTGAAAACCAAACCAAACCAACAGCTCTGGGAGCTGACGAGAAGGCTGCTGTATCAGCGTGCGGATGTGAGTTCAGGTCCAGCACTTGTGTAAGAAGCTGGGCATGCTTCACAGGAGCCCGTTGCGTTACCCAGCACTGGAGGACTGAGGCAGGAGGATTGTTGCAACCTAGCTCCAGCCTCAGTGAAAGACCCTCTCTCAAGTGAATAAGATGGAGCATGATAGAACAAGGAAGTGGGCTATCCTTCTCTAACATCCACACCCAGCCCCCCACACACACACTTGCGTATACAAGAACCCAACACATAGGCTGCATCATCTCCTTACTGTAGTGCGCTTCCCTTCAGTAGCCCCTTCAAGTCCAGTTCCCTCTCCACTTGCCCCCTCCTGTGGGAGGGAAGGAGTGAGACAAGCTGCCTCCTGGTGCAGGTTCATGGTCTGGATGACAGACCTGGCTGACTCTTTGCTTGAGAACATTCAGGCTGGAACAGCAGTGTGTGCGTGCATGCCT